GTGTCGTCATGTTGATATGTGTATGTATGTAACACATCACAAGTAAACATTACAGAACCTAAAACCTCCCACTTACTGACGAACATTTTCTCGTCTCCACAGATCCCCTGAGAGTCTTAAAGACACACGGGATTTCATATTTTTGAAAACCTATCATATTCCACAAAGAATTTTAATATAAATTTAATTTTTCTGAAAACGAACTGGCCGTCCAGTGTTCTCATGTCAAACTTTCAATAAAAGGTAATAGTGTTTACGAAATACAGTATATTGTATTTGTTATCAAATATGACGTCACACATTGTTTGCGGATGCCTGTGTCGTAAACAGATTGTTTGAAAAATGAAAATGACAGTCGAGTTAAATTTGAGATTAATGTTGATATTGCAACGTATAGCATGTACGATAATGATGGGAAGTGCCATGAAGAACACTGCTGTGAGGTGCTTGAAGAACACTGCTGTGAGGTGCTTGAAGAACACTGCTGTGAGGTGCTTGAAGAACACTGCTGTGAGGTGCTTGAAGAACACTGCTGTGAGGTGCTTGAAGAACACTGCTGTGAGGTGCTTAAGAACACTGTGTGAGGTGCTGAAGAACACTGCTGTGAGGTGCTTGAAGAACACTGCTGTGAGGTGCTTGAAGAACACTGCTGTGAGGTGCTTGAAGAACACTGCTGTGAGGTGCATGAAGAACACTGCTGTGAGGTGCATGAAGAACACTGCTGTGAGGTGCTTGAAGAACACTGCTGTGAGGTGCTTGAAGAACATGCTGTGAGGTGCTGAAGAACACTGCTGTGAGGTGCTTGAAGAACACTGCTGTGAGGTGCTTGAAGAACACTGCTGTGAGGTGCTAAGAACACTGCTGTGAGGGCATGAAGAACACTGCTGTGAGGTGCTGAAGAACACTGCTGTGGGTGCTGAAGAACACTGCTGTGAGGTGCATGAAGAACACTGCTGTGAGGTGCATGAAGAACACTGCTGTGAGGTGCATGAAGAACACTGCTGTGAGGTGTCTGAAGAACACTGCTGTGAGGTGTCTGAAGAACCCTGCTGTGAGGTGCATGAAGAACACTGCTGTGTGGTGTCTGAAGAACCCTGCTGTGAGGTGCATGAAGAACACTGCTGTGAGGTGCATGAAGAACACTGCTGTGAGGTGCTTGAAGAACACTGCTGTGAGTGCTGAAGAACACTGCTGTGAGGTGCATGAAGAACACTGCTGTGAGGTGCATGAAGAACACTGCTGTGAGGTGCTTGAAGAACACTGCTGTGAGGTGCTTGAAGAACACTGCTGTGAGGTGTCTGAAGAACACTGCTGTGAGGTGTCTGAAGAACACTGCTGTGAGGTGTCTGAAGAACACTGCTGTGAGGTGTCTGAAGAACACTGCTGTGAGGTGCATGAAGAACACTGCTGTGAGGTGCTGAAGAACACTGCTGTGAGGTGCATGAAGAACACTGCTGTGAGGTGCATGAAGAACACTGCTGTGAGGTGCATGAAGAACACTGCTGTGAAGTGCTTGAAGAACACTGCTGTGAGGTGCTTCAAGAACACTGCTGTGAGGTGCATGAAGAACACTGCTGTGAGGTGCTTCAAGAACACTGCTGTGAGGTGCTTCAAGAACACTGCTGTGAGGTGCATGAAGAACACTGCTGTGAGGTGCATGAAGAACACTGCTGTGTGGTGCATGAAGAACACTGCTGTGAGGTGCTTCAAGAACACTGCTGTGAGGTGCTTCAAGAACACTGCTGTGAGGTGCATGAAGAACACTGCTGTGAGGTGCATGAAGAACACTGCTGTGGTGCTTCAAGAACACTGCTGTGAGGCTCAAGAACACTGCTGTGAGGTGCATGAAGAACACTGCTGTGAGGTGCTTCAAGAACACTGCTGTGAGGTGCATGAAGAACACTGCTGTGAGGTGCATGAAGAACACTGCTGTGTGGTGTCTGAAGAACACTGCTGTGAGGCATGAAACACTGCTGTGAGGTGCTTGAAGAACACTGCTGTGAGGTGCATGAAGAACACTGCTGTGAGGTGTCTGAAGAACACTGCTGTGAGGTGTCTGAAGAACACTGCTGTGAGGTGCATGAAGAACACTGCTGTGTGGTGTCTGAAGAACACTGCTGTGAGGTGCATGAAGAACACTGCTGTGAGGTGCATGAAGAACACTGCTGTGAGGTGCATGAAGAACACTGCTGTGAAGTGCTTGAAGAACACTGCTGTGAGGTGCTTCAAGAACACTGCTGTGAGGTGCATGAAGAACACTGCTGTGAGGTGCTTCAAGAACACTGCTGTGAGGTGCTTCAAGAACACTGCTGTGAGGTGCATGAAGAACACTGCTGTGAGGTGCATGAAGAACACTGCTGTGAGGTGCATGAAGAACACTGCTGTGAGGTGCATGAAGAACACTGCTGTGAGGTGCTTCAAGAACACTGCTGTGAGGTGCATGAAGAACACTGCTGTGAGGTGTCTGAAGAACACTGCTGTGAGGTGCATGAAGAACACTGCTGTGAGGTGCATGAAGAACACTGCTGTGAAGTGCTTCAAGAACACTGCTGTGAGGTGCTTCAAGAACACTGCTGTGTGGTGCATGAAGAACACTGCTGTGATGGGCTTCAAGAACACTGCTGTGAGGTGCATGAAGAACACTGCTGTGAGGTGCATGAAGAACACTGCTGTGTGGTGTCTGAAGAACACTGCTGTGAGGTGCATGAAGAACACTGCTGTGAGGTGCATGAAGAACACTGCTGTGAAGTGCTTGAAGAACATTGCTGTGAGGAACATCAAGAACACTGCTGTGAGGAACATCAAGAACACTGCTGTGCGGAACATCAAGAACACTGCTGTGAGGACATCAAGAACACTGCTGTGAGGAACATCAAGAACACTGCTGTGAGGCTCAAGAACACTGCTGTGAGGAACATGAAGAACACTGCTGTGAGGAACTTCAAGAACACTGCTGTGAGGAACATCAAGAACACTGCTGTGAGGAACATCAAGAACACTGCTGTGAGGAACATCAAGAACACTGCTGTGAGGAACATCAAGAACACTGCTGTGAGGAACATCAAGAACACTGCTGTGCGGAACATCAAGAACACTGCTGTGAGGAACATCAAGAACACTGCTGTGAGGAACATCAAGAACACTGCTGTGAGGAACTTCAAGAACACTGCTGTGAGGAACATCAAGAACACTGCTGTGAGGATCATCAAGAACACTGCTGTGAGGAACATCAGAACACTGCTGTGAGGACTCAAGAACACTGCTGTGAGGACATCAAGAACACTGCTGTGAGGAACATCAAGAACACTGCTGTGAGGACTTCAAGAACACTGCTGTGAGTGCATAAGAACACTGCTGTGAGGACATCAAGAACACTGCTGTGAGGACATCAAGAACACTGCTGTGAGGACATCAAGAACACTGCTGTGAGGCATCAAGAACACTGCTGTGAGGTGCATCAAGAACACTGCTGTGAGGTAACATCAAGAACACTGCTGTGAGGAACATCAAGAACACTGCTGTGAGGTGGCATCAAGAACACTGCTGTGAGGAACATCAAGAACACTGCTGTGAGGAGCATCAAGAACACTGCTGTGAGGAACATGAAGAACACTGCTGTGAGGAACATCAAGAACACTGCTGTGAGGAACATCAAGAACACTGCTGTGAGGAACATCAAGAACACTGCTGTGAGGAACATCAAGAACACTGCTGTGAGGAACATCAAGAACACTGCTGTGAGGAACATCAAGAACACTGCTGCAGCAGTCAGTTTTTAACAGCTGGTATTTACATAGTTCCTCATACAAGTTTATTTCAAATATTAATGTACTTAAAATCCGTTCAGAAATAAGTAATGGCATTACATATGTATGTAGTTTATACAACGTATGAATGAATTAATGTTTTTTATGTATTAATTCCAGATGATGATGACACTCGCACTCTCATTTCATTAGTTTTATTCTCATTTATCATAATTAATGCTTATAATGATTATTATACTTATAATTATTTTGTTCTAGGTATTTCGTGTTGCAATCAACGTTCACAGGAATGTTCTTGCTAAGCGGTATATATATATAATATATATATATATATATATATATATATATATATATATATATATTATATATATATATATATATATATATATATATATATATATATATATATATATATATATATATGAATAACTAAGGTGTAATGAACACTGGTCAGTGAAGACAGTAACTCAGGGTTTGACTGATCTGTATACATCGACACCTTCTTCTATGATCGTCTTCAGTTGAAGTCCCCTAAGGGGCTGAAGTTGCTTCAGTGAGCCCCGCTAGTGGCAGCCACACTAATCTTGCTCTGTTACCGTTTTTGCTACTGTTGGTATTGTTGGTGCTACTGTTGTTGCCACTGATACTTCTCTTGATTTCGGTAATCCTACTGTCGTTACTGCTGTTGTTGCCACTTTTGTTGTTCTTGTTGCTACTGTTGTTATTCTGGTTCTGTGGCGTTATGTTGGATCTTAAACTGTCTACTCGGCTTGTGTTAGTTTTTATCCGAAGGAGAATGAAGAAAGAAAGAGAGAACGAAAGAAAGGAGAAATAAATAAATGAAGGAAGAAAGATAGAGAGAGAAAAGAAAAAAGAAAGTAAAGAAGGAAGAAAGAAAGAAAGAAAGATAGAAAGAGAAAAGAAAAAAGAAAGATAGAAAGAGAAAAGAAAAAAGAAAGAAAAAAAGAAAAAATGAAAGAAAGAGAAGAAGAAAGGAATAATGAGATGAAGACAAGAGAAAATCGCAAAGGACACCTACATGGAAAAAGCATTTTGTCTGAGACGTTTGAAGTGAGTGAGTGAGTGAGATACTAAAGGAGTGAGTAAATGTGACAGGTGAGGAGAGTGATAGTCCCTGTGAGCCAGGCAGGTGAGAGGGAGTGTGACAGAGGACCACGTGTGGCCAGACAGTGACTGTGGATGCTGTGAGAGTCAGTGTGGCTGCAGCACCGA